TCGATGGGTCGCCATGGCATAGTGCATCGGGCCACGGAACGCAGGTACTGCTTGGTGCCATCCATGTTGATGACGGGGAGGTGTGCGAGAGCGATCCGGCTGGGAAGGAGGAATTCCATTCACATCCGAGTTGAACTGGGAGATCAGGTCCTGGGACGCCATGATGTAGACGGGGCCACGAGATAATAGGTCAAATAAGCTCGAACTGCCGGTTGAAAGCTGCGGAAATTGTCAAGGTGAGACAAGAGTAATGTGCGATTGAAATGGTGTGAAACTTAATACGTGGTACCAGTATGTGAAACGTAAAGTGAAATCCGAATCTGGCGCAAGGTTCAAATATCATGAGCATGCAGCAGTTCACAAACCTTTTGAGGAAGAAGTGGCATCAATACCGAATGTCGGGAGAAGCATTGTTACTCCAAAATGATCGGGCAGGGCCACTAGGCTCACTGTATCGCTGTCGTCGAATAGTCGATACTTGTTCCGGTGCTCCTCAGAGGTAAAGAGTTCACCAACGAGATCTGGAGTGATATGTCGAGTGTCGAGAACGAGGTCGGCCTTCACGGTGCTGGTCTCGAGAGTGGCCTTCATGATAGGAGGAACGGCGATCTCGGCGGCTGTAGGTTGAATTGTCCCAAGAAGCTGTGTCATGCCAAGATCGGCGAGCATGATCTCGAGAACCAGAAGCAGCGGTCTCGTGGTGGCCAGGTGTGTCTCGAGAGTCGTCTGGAGGTGTTTCCAAAGGTTCTGGGGCGTTGGCAGGAGGGTCAGGTCGTACTGGACGTGCATGATCATCAGGAGGTTCCGTGGGTGCATTGGTCTCCGCCGTCTGATGTGTGATCAAGCCCGGGAAAACCGAGTGAGTGGAGGCAACATAGCATATGGATGCGGCGCTGGAGTTCATAGCCGTTGCATTGTCTTTGCCCTTGGCTATGCCCGCAAGGTTGCACAAGCGTTGAATTTGGTCATTTCCTCCAGCTAGGGCACGGATGCATTTGGGTGAGCGGCAAATGGCCAGCAGGCCTGATGGGTTTTGTCCTTTGCCAATTTTGTAGAGCTGAGAGGTACAGATCTTGACAGCATAGCCGGGTAGGTTGTCGATGTCTGCGATCTCAGAGGACATACCGAAAAACCCGTAACATGGGTATTGAGTTGGCATGCCGGCTTCGTTTTTTGTCCAAGTTGCCGGGCGAATGCAGTCTTCCGCGAGAATTTTGGCAACTGTTTCCCAACTCGTTTTGTGGTAGATCAGGTAGGTGCCCATGTGTTCGCCACGATAGATTGGTTTCTTTTTCAATCCTGTGGGAACCGTGATGGTCAGCAGGTTCTCTGGCTCGATGTAGAAGGCTTGTGTTTGCCTCGCAAGCTCGATGTCCAGTAAGTTGGATTGTGCAAAGGCCCTGGCAATGTTTTTGACGGTGGCTTGGCTTGCTTTGATATAAATACGTTGGTTGTTGACGGTGCGGTATGGTTGAGCCAACTGGTGGAACATCTCGTCAACGAATTGGTTGAAGAGCTGCGAGATGGCCGGGGTCAATGATTGGCGTAGGGGCACAACATGATCGGGCCCAAGCTCAGTCAGGCAGCGGACCCTAAGGGGGTCATTGGCCGCCTCAACCATTTCACTGAGGTCGATGTCATTCGTGTCGAACTTGGTGATCGAAATTGTATCTGCAACCTCAGAATTTTCACTGTCACCGTCAGGGACGCGGAAGGACACAGCGCCAAGTGGTGCTGAAGTATGGGCTGGTGGGTTGGTTGGTGGTTCCGGTGGTGGTGGATTGGCAGGAGAATTGGGTCGAGCATTGTGGTGATGGTAGTTGTCGGTGTAGTGGCTGTCGATCCATGTACCCCAGGTGTCATCAGCGTCGGGAGTGGGGATGTAGTTCGGATTGGATGGGTTTGCAGCTGGTCGAAGTATGACTTCACGGCCTCTGGATCGGTGACGTGGTGTCTCGGAACGTGGTCGTGGGTGAGATCGATGACGTCGAGGAACCACGGGAGAGCGGCGTCTTGGTGGTGATCGTCGTCTGTATGGAGATGGGCTTCTGCGGTCCTTGGCATGTTTCGTGGATGACCGATAACGAGGAAGAGGAGAACGAGGTCGAGCTGCACGGTGGGGAGAATAGCGAGGGTGATGGGAACGTACAGAAGGTCGATGGGAACGTGATCTTGGAGTCCTGGATCGTGGTCGGCGTGTTGGTGATGGTGGAACATGTAGTTGGTGAGGAGGAGCGATGGTTGGAGCTTGGACAATACGAGGGTCTGGAACGTCAGGTTCGGTGGGTCTGGCTTTCGGTGCAGGTGGAGGAGTGGCGATCATTGGTGGTGCAGTTGTATGTGGTGGTGTCTGTGGAATAGGGTTCAGTGGAGGTCCATCTTGTTGGAGAAGTAGCTGACGTTGTTCTTGGGCTCGTTGGGAATCCATGATCATTTGTTGCTGAGCTTGAATAAGTCGAACCGATTCCGCAAGTTGCTGTGCAGTGGAGCCCAATGCTACAAGTTCAGGTGACACGGATGAAGTCGGTGCTGCCGTAGGTGTTGGTGGTGTAGTAGGAGGAGGGGCTTTTGGAGCTGGTCGACGCGGTCGATCCGGTCGCTTGTCAGAGCGAAGCCTGGGAGCCGCCTTAACTGCTGGGGCCCGTGGTGAAGGTTCATCTGGAGGGACCATCGATGCGTCCGTCTGTAATGGAGGTTGAATGTGGTGAGGTGGGTATGGAGAACTGGGCAAAGGTGTCGGTGGCGTAGTCGATGTAGGTGGTGTAGTCGATGTAGGGGATGGAGCCGGAGGAGGAGGCCACGTGGGTGGAGCGGTGGGTGCCGTAGGAGATGGAAAGGTCGACGGAGCGGTGTGCACCATAGTGGTTTCAGGGGCCAAAGGCGAGGGCATGGTGGGTACGAGCTGTGGGCCTGGTACTGCATGAGGAGCCGGAGTCAATGAGGTGAACGGCAACGATGTTGGGGCTGATGTAGACGGCATGAGCGAAGCTGAGGAAGACCATGTAGGATGCAATGCCGAGGGATGTCCAAATAGATGTGCGTTCTGCGATGATTGCTGCCACGTCGAAGATGGGTTCGCAGGCTGCGGTGGAGCAGGCCATGACGTCGGAGGAGTGGTCCACGGATACATCGCTCACGAAGAATAATGAAAAATAATGAAATTGCAACGACAGGATTCAGTTCCTAGACCTACTGTTCGTGCAATTGTGCCACAACAGGCCCGTGTTCCAGTCAGCCACAAGGGCATAAAACGGCTTTCAAGTTCCATCGAATTAGATGCACAAAATGTTTAACCTCACCAGACAACCATCAAAAAGAAGAATACCACACCTGCAAGACATGGGCCTGCCTGATTCCTGTATCAAATGCTGTTGTCATGAGTCGTCAAAAGCAGCTGCGAGAAGGAGAAGGTTTCTGATTGTTTCGAACAACGTCACGCTTGAAGAATGCAATTCACGAGGATCACAAGGGACAATAGGAGCCGCGGGACTCTCGAAAAGGCTGATGAACCGTAAGGCCAGCTGTTGCAATTTACTTAGATGAATTACCAACTTAAAAATGTAAATTCGGCAGTCAGGACAGTCGTCACTCACCCTAAAAAGGGTTGCCTCAATTGGCTCCATGGCACCATGTCGGAGCCACCATGGAAATCACACTAGACAAGAATGGATCATTATATGATCCGGCAGGAACTGAATCCTGAAACATGCAAACCAGCCTAGATCGTTAGATTAATAAAGGAGCCATATGAGGTACTTCTCGAAAACGATGTAGGGCATCCAATATTGTCCAACGTAGTTAAAACCAGAGTCCAAAGTGTTTTGACCAGCATGTTGAAAATCCAAAAAATGTTTCGGCGATTGTTTCCCAAAAACCCAAAGTTCGTCGGCGACATGATCTCGGCGAAAATATGTCAAAAAATCATAATACTGTCGGCGATATGGTTTCGGCGAAAATCTGAGAAAGGTTCTGATGCATGCAATACAGATTGTGGCAACCGTGTAGATTCGAAACAACGCAGTGTAACAGCTTGATCAACAGTTGAAACCAAATTTTGCAGGTACACAGAGTTGATCAGACTCTGCTTCCAGCACAAGTGGATAGCTTCGTTGGGTGCAGTCTCCACTGTGCTCTGCACCCCCCTGCAAATGTGAAAGGATTCCCTGCAAATGTGAACAGGTTCGAATCAAAGAAGTTTTACATCTGTTCAGATGTTACACACACACACACACCCATGCATACGTACATACGTACTTACATAGACATACATGCATGCATACATACATATAACTATAAATATGCACAATTCACCAAGCCTTTCCAATCTTGCAAAAGCAAGCAGCTAAGAGGAACTCATCACCCACATGTGATGACTTGCCAGGGCCACGGCAAAGAAGGCTTGGGAGAAGAAGGCCCTTTTGATGTCGAATTTGACAGTCCACAGTCCACCAATGTCCAAAGTGTTGATTTACCAACATTTCAATGCATTTTGCCCATACTGGGCTGTCTTTACTTGCTCGTTCCTTGAGTTTGCGCTGTGGAAGATTTTCTTCCCTCATCCATGGCTGCTCTTTTCGTATTGTATCAGTTTCAATCACTGTTGACTGTTGGTGTACCATGATGTACCGGAATTACGTGGAGGGACTAGAAGAAATGAAAAAGAAAGAAACCACATAACCTGAAGCGATGGTGCCTATAATGACCACTATCCACAACTGTCAGCAGAAACGGACATACATGATCAGCAGTTAAACCTTGCCTGTTGTTTTGCAGTATGTAGCTCTCAGGTGACGATGAAAAGCGCACACACACACAACTGCAATGTGACAGCGGCTTTTGGCGTAATATTTCGAAAAGGGCCGAACTATGCTGTATGGCTGAGTTGAGTATATAGCTTATTTAGTAAAATCTATGCCAAAATACTCGACTATGGTGTACTAAACTAATGTGTCCTGATACAGTTTAATGTTTGCACTGCTCTTGCAGCTTTTTGACTTCATCGTAGATTGTACAGATATGATGTCATTGCCATGGCGGAGGACGAGTTTGCCACAGTGTCCCAACTTGCAAACACTTTTCAGGACAGGAAGGTTGTTGAACTAGCACTAGGTGCAAAAGACAGGTTTTGTCAGCAAGGGGACTTGGATAGCGCCGCAGATGCTATTCGGGTGACAGTCTCCGCCAAGTGCGCCCTTTTGGAAGATGCTATTCAAGTTGCCAAAGACGGTGTGTCCCTATGTCAGCCTAATGCCCGTGGCCGACAGCTTGGTACACAGAGAGCTGAAGCGAAGATGTGGCTTGCGTTCGCTGAAGCAGTTGAGGGTATGAACTTAGCTGAATGTGTGTCAGAGGCGATTGTGGCCGCAGAGAAAGCCCACAACTACTTCTCTTCGAACGGTGATGACCGACTTCGTGTTGAAGTTTGCGCTGTTCTGACCCAGCTTCGTTTATCCCGCGGTGAAAACAAGGACATGGAACTGGCTCAGAAATCTGCCGAGCTGGCAATGGAAGTTTCAGAGACGATGAATGTTCGATGCAGAGGAAGAGCCCTTTTGGCCCGGGGTGCTGTTGCATTTCCCAACTGGCAGCCGTACGCGGAAAAAGCGCTTGAACTTGCATTGGATTTAGAGGATCTTTTGCTGGAAGTTGAAGTGAGATTGTCAATGGCCCGTTGGTGGGCCCACGTGGAGGAGCATGAGTCCAGCTTGGGTCAGGCTAACGAAGCATTGGACATGCTGCAAGAGCAGGGTGCTGGTTGTCATCGTCAAATTGCTGCGACACAACTGGCCTGCAATGCGCTTGTGGAACTTGGGGCTGCGGACCAGGGTGGGAACAGGCCACAATTTGCCAAAGCTTTGCGACTATCCCAGGAGTTGCTCAGGCTTGCCGAAATGGAAGGGTCAGAGGTGGTGCGCATTTTAGCCTCAAGGCACCTCATACAGACTCAGATTGCTTGTTCCGAAGCTCGCAAGGCCATTGAGACAGGGAAAGAAACCTTACAATGGTGCTTGAAAAGGAAGCCTTCTCGTGACTACCACTGTGAAGCGCAAATTCTACAAACCATTTTGCAGGCACAAGCTCAACTGCCGAATGGAAGCCAGACCGAAGAGATCGAACATACATGTGGCCTATCACTTGCAATGATTCAGCAGCTTGTTTGCAGTGACGCTGGTCGCAGCCAAGCGGTTGAGTTGATGATTCAAGTCTTGAAATCCTTCACCTTGCTTGGCAAGCCTTTGGAGGCTTGGGCAACAGCATCCCAGCTGCGCGAGTTGGTTCGTGATTCAACCTCTCAAGCGCCCTTAGTAGTAGCAATGGCCAGGTCAATGCAAGAAGCTGGCCGGTTGGAACAGAGTTGTGAACTTGGCCAAGAGGCTGCACGCTTATTTGAGGACCAATCCGATGACCGGCAAGCTGCATTCGCTCTATCCCTGGTCGCCCATGCACAACTGAAGATGGGAAAGTTTAGCGTAAGCCGCCAAAACGCCAGAAGGGCCCGTCGCCGCTTCGGAGAGATTGGAGACTGCGAAGAAGAAATTCGCATGAGAATGGTGGTCGCGAAGGCTTGTTCAGCCAAAGACGAGCGTGGAAACAAGCAAACAAAAGATGCTCTAAGGGAAGCTCAAGAAGCGACAAAGTTGGCAGTGGAGTTTGGAAAGCATGATCTCATTGCAGAAAGCTTGGCATTGTACGTTGAGGTGCTTTTTGAGGCTAACCAGCTGGAAACCTGTTGTCAAGCTGCCGACGAACTTCTGCGACTGGAAGTTCCTGCTAGTTTTGAGCATCAGATCTCTGCACTATTTCATGCTGCAAAGGCTCAAGAAAAGATGGCAAATTTCTTGGCTGCCAAGACCTATGCTGAGCGAGTGGTACAGCTTGCCCCAAAGGTCGCTGGCAATGAACCCAAGGCAGTTGTGCAACAATCAAGGGACATGATATCTGGGCTGCGGAAGAAGTCCCTTTTTGATCATTCGAAAGCTCCACTCATTGCCTTGGACCATCAGGACCAACAAGAGGAGCGTCCTCGGGGAGGTCAAGATTCTGGCATGGGGACCAAATGTCCGCGCTGTGGCTACGACAGAGCTGAGGCTGGTGATCCGCCTATTTTGTGCAAGGCCTGTAAGACACACCTGCCATGGCGCTGCAGATTCTGCCCTGATTGTGGTGCGAAGCAGAAGAAGGACAGCAGCTTCGCAGGGCCATCGAGCCGTGGCCCTGCTGTCAAGGCAGGTTTTTTTCCCCTTCCAGACGAACACGCACCATTGAAACTTCGCATCCAAGAGCTCACTGGCAAGCTCCTTGGGATAGACAGTGAAGATGTGCAGGACGATATTCCGCTGAAAGATATTGGGCTTTCTAGCGGCGCAGCGGTCATACTCAGAGACGAGCTGCAAAATGATGTCAAGGGCATCCGATTGCCTCCAACTCTATTCTTCGACTATCCCACTGTACATGCAGTGGTTGGATATGTGACTGGGAAGCTGAGATAAGCGTTCTTTGGTTCCTAGCAACTCTGTTGTGCGGTATGCTATTCCTGGCGCACGCGAGCAAGCAAAAACAGCCCGTTCCAACTTTCCGAAGACAGATTTACCTTTTGCATCCTTGTGCACTTTTGTTTCACTGGCAGTTTTTCAGCATTCAACAATTACATGCTGCTGTTTGCATGGCTATTTATGGCAGCTGCTGAAGGCTGCGAAGAACAGCTCCGGGCGCAGTTTGGCCCCTGGATGCCTATTAAAGATGTATAAAGATGTCATGTCGGAGTATTTCTACCCCTGTGTGCATTCTGCAGAGATGTTGTGCCCACTAAACCGTTTACAAACACAGCCTTATACTACAAAATGACGCTTGAATCTGAACCAACCCCCCTTGCTACAAAATGGGTTGGGGGTTTTTATGGTGGATCAAAAGCCAATGTCGGTCACTACAAAATGACTTTGCGTGCCCATTTTGTAGTGAAAACGGGTTGCAGTGAAAAATCATGATTCTCTACTAAATGGTTTTTGGAAATGTCACACTAAATCTTTGGTTCCCTTTCTGGGGCCCAGGTCATAGTATTTGCCGAGCACAAGTAAATACAACCTTGGGATTTCCACCGGATTCCAAGAATTGACCTTTCAAAAAAGGTTTGACAAAAGCACGGCGCAGAGGTTTTGAACTGCAATCGTCAAACCTATGGGGCAGCAAAAACGATCTAAGCGCACATCTTCAACTTCAATTGATCGGTTTTTCCCATTATTTGTTTTTTTTCGGTTTTTTGGGGGCTCATCTTACCACGAAATATTGTGAGTTAAGAGCCAAAAATGGTCTGAGGGTCCAAGCTATATGTTCATGTAACCGGGCATGACCGGCAAAAGAGGGCTTTGGGGTTTCCGGTACGACACAACGCATCCCAAAATAAATCACTACAAAATGTATTTCCGATTTTTGAGTGCCAAATGGAACGCCGCTACAAGATACAGCGCACGCCCTTTTACTACAAAAACTGGTGCACGGGTCCATTTTTTTTGCTTGAATTCTCCACGAAACAGGGGATGGTATCAAGCACGTGTTCACCCTTTTAGTAGTGGAAATGGTAAGGGGGATAGGTGATCTCTTGAGTGCTCACGTGATGTGCCCTGCCCCCAGCTGCAGCTAAGAACCCCCTTTTGTGCTGCCTCGGAAATGGTATTGAAGTTCAGGCCTCAGATGCAAGGTGAGTTCTTGGAGGGAAAGACATGAAATGTAAAGCCAGGGAAAGAAATGAAATGCCAAGACTGGAGCTAGCGAGCTCTATGTTTAGTTCATTGATGAGACTTTTCGACTCACACTGGTGCACAGCCAGTGCGCAGTGCAATTATTAATTATGTATAATTATGTACCATGGTGCTTGAAACATCTTGGAACAATACACCTGTCAATAAAATTCTATAAAACTGTGTTACTTATTTTTTTGATATCGATATTTGGACATATGTGCGCTAAATAGGTTCGGAAACAAGGGCTGAATCCAAGCATTTGGTACATCATGATCATGCAAGGTACACTGACACAGACACCGACACACACACTTGCTCAGAACTGTCATTGCGAATTTTGTTGTGGAATGCATCTTACGTGCAAAAACAATCCAGTTTCACCTGACAGGAATGGGTCGATGAAAGGACCCGACAAACAGTGAAGGCTGTCATCGCCATAGCCAGTGCTGAATAAAATGGATTGGAAACTGACCCTTCCCTTTCAACAAAGCCATATCGCTCCCCACTTGACAAATTGCGAAAACCGTACCGCATCGAAGTGACATCAAAATTGGTAGAAAAAGTTTGTGGAAATGACGGCAAGGTGGTTCTTGGGTTAGCCACTACCCATCACGAAATTGACAAAATGTGCAGTCGATGAGCGTCCCCATCGATATCACAGGCAGCTGATGAGTGTCTTTGCTAGTGCCGGTCTCATCAGTGCCTCCGACACCCCCTGCTCTGAAATTCAAAATCAAAATCAAAAAGGAGAACATCAGCGTGAAAACACGCAAAACGACGGTTAGAAGTTTTACATCTATTCAGATGTTCCACACACACACATGCCCCGCTGCCGCGGGGCTTTTTTCGGAAGATGCATGTCGAATGCAAGCACTGGTTGGGTCATCTGGGTTCGGACCTGTTGATTAAAATGCCAGAGACAAGGAAGCGAATTGAATTTATTTTACAATGACTCTCGCCTGGTCACGGGATGGCTTGGTCATCATCATCCGAGACATCCGCAGGGAAATCTTCTGGATTGGCCTGCCTCGCTAGAGTGTTGGCCATGACTGCCAGGTGGCTGCCAAGCTGAGCCAGTTCTGCTGATGTAAATAAATGAATGTTGCTCTCCGAAGGATCAGCACGCGGAATCTGGAGCAATTCAAGGATTGGGGCATTGAACTCAGGATCCGCCAACAACATGTTGTACATAATGTGAGCCAGCTGGCTGATTTGCATAGGTACCGATGGGGTGGGATCAGCCACATTCACCTGGAGTTCCATCTGAGAGGTGTCATCCCCGTCGTCATCAGCTGGGATGTCTTCTGCCAGAGGTTCTAAATTGTCCTGGTGAGATTGATGCTCATGCGGCTCAGTCCGATGGAAGTGGTAAAGGACCTCATCAATGTCGAAGTTTCGGCGCCAATAATTGGCAATGCATGAAGCTTCACGCCATCCATTGATGGGATATCCCCACTTGTCTGTCCTTTACATGACCCACAATTCCATGGAAGAAAAATTCCGGTCGGCGAAGCCTTTCGGTTCCTTCGGAATCAATTTCAGTGACCCAGAGCTGTTTCTGTATGTTGGATCCCGTTCCAACGTCAATCTGTTTGAAGACCTGGGTGTGCACCACCCGTTGATTTGGTTGGAGGTCGCTTGGGAGAGGATAGCGTGGAAATGAATTCCACGAGTCTCCACTCATTGGCATGGGAACATGATCAGCCTCAGATGTGTAGCCGTATCCCGATGTGGCAGCCGCTTTGGGTGCTGCATATGAACCCGGTAAGCCGGGTCCAGACGAAGATGATGCTGCAGGAGAAGGTCGATGGCGTGTAGTAGACATCGGAGTCGACCAGGCATCCATGCGCATGAAGCGAGGAGAAGCCAAATTGGCCATTGACGAATCGCGCTTACGCGAAAACTTGTAACAAATGTGAACCTGAGTTCTACTCTGTAGCCAATTGAGCTGTCCAAGAACTGATCGATTGATAAGCGGTATGAATTTGTGGATTGCACTGGATGTTATCTTTCAAGGACTTATCTATCTTTACTTCTTCTACTGCATCGACAGCAAGTTTTTGGTCAACGCAAATATATGGTCCATATTTGTCATGTGTCTTCCATTTGATGCGTTGTCCTACAAACATGATGTCATTTTTTTCTGAACCAACCGCAAAGTTCTTACGCAGACTGGACACTTTGTCATATTGAGAGCTGGAAAATGAAAAATGAAATTGTGAACATGTGAATCCTGATAAAAGACAGCAATTATGAGGTGCAAAACTTAACAATGGGGAACGGACACTGGAGAAAGTAAGCTCAGCAGTTGACAAAGCAGCCTTTTTATTTTGCAAAGCAGAGCACTCACGGAAGGTAATTGGGTGGCAGTGCTTTGTGACAGCTCATCCTCATTGATATACGGCTGAGTTGGACAAGTGAATGGTATGAGACTGCTGAAGATGATCCTGAAGATGCCAATGTTTTGTGCCTGAGCCCAGTATTCTCTTGTAGAAGACGACTGATGGTGTGAGGATTGCACAAAGCGAAGGTGTCGCCTGTTCGATCACTCCAACGAGATCCATGGTGTCAGCGTCTATGTTTACACCCCATGTGTTGTCAATGTCCTGGCTGATGCCGGCAAATAGGTCGCCAACTGTAGTAGTTTGAATTTGGCTGGGTTTCAGGAGCCGGGCATATGTGAACATAGCCATGTCTTCAGAATCTTGAAGGTCAGGTAAGTTCGTACAACTAGTGACAGTCATGGCATCCGAGAATTGTTCTTCCATCAGTCGACGAACTTGAGTGATGTCTACGAAAATGAGAACCCTGCGAATTCGACGAAGTGCCGGTATGGGGATCATGTGGGCGGATCAGGATTGCCCCAAATCGGGCGGTGATCATCATTGCCACGTGAGCGGGAGCGGTCACGAGACATGGTACGAGGAAATGAATGCAGTTGAGCCAGGACTGGATCAGAGAAAGGAGAAATTCAGAATCAATAAATATTGAAGAGATGAGGAAAAAAAGAAAAAGGAAAGGAAACCACAGACAAAACTTTTTCACAGCGATAATTGCTCAAGCTAAAGCTGTTTGCTCAAGCTAAAGCTGTAGACATTTTAGTCTTCTGCTTCCGGTCCAGCACGGGAGTTCAGCTCAGGCAAGTTTTGTTTCAACACGAGCCATCGTGCTTTGCAGGCTTCAGGATCTCGTTTCAAGCAAGCCCGATTGTCTTCCATGCGGGTCTGGCCCGAGTGTCACTCTTGTAGCTGATTAACTCGTGATCTTCATTGTCGGTCCAGGGTCGTAGGTGATGATTGACAGTAGAGCGTGGAGGTACGCCATGGTCACTGGCAAGTTCCCTGGTTCGAGTAGGAGCTGAAGGGCGTTCTGGAGAAGGTGGTCTCCAACAGTGGCAACGGCAGGAGCCGTAATCGTGGCTGGAGTTGGTGCTGAGACATGAGCGTGGATTCGCTGCTTCTTTTTGGGACGGTTCTCTGGACGAAGGGTAGGAGGATCATTGTTTCTTGGATTGTCCCTATCCGGGCTCGGTGGATTCAATCGGTAAATGTGTCGGATTGGAAGATTCCCCACGGCTGGAGCGGGAACGGGTAGGATTCAAGGGCCGGGTGGTTTGGTTCCGGATTGATGATCATATGAGACGGAATGCCCCCATGTGACGCCAGGGTTGGAGTTGCGGGAGAAGATGGGATTGGCACAAAGGTATGAAGATGTTAGGGAGGATGCGGACTTGGAAAGGAGAACGATGGTGTTCGGCGATATGTGTCCGCCTCATGAAGCTCCCAGTCAACCGTTGGCTCAAAGAATGGTAAAAACCCCG